CTGTGAGGACAGTCAGGCATTGGAACAGGTTGCCCAGGGAGGTCATACAATTCTCCATCACTGGAGGCTTTCAAAACCTAGCTCAATAAAGTCCTGTTGAATATCATCCGACCTCATGCCTGTCCCTGCTTTGAGCAGAAGTTTGGACTAGAGACCTCCTTAGGTCACTTCCAACCTGGATTGTCCTGTGATCCAGTGCTCTCTGTGATGGAGAGGACAAAATGTGGCAGGTCTGAACATCTCTGCAGAGTGACATTTTCCGGTTCAGCTCAGAGTGGAACTGAGCAGAAATGAACTTCTCAGGCTTCAAGCCTAAATCCAGATATCTCTGTGTAAACAGTATTAAACAGCTAAAGCAACACTAAGACTATGACCTAGCAGGGTGGTTAAGCCTGTGCTTAACCCTAAACGTGAATAATAACACTGAAATCAAGCCTCACGTTGAAACTTGCAGTGCTGCCCAGGGTCAGCAAGGTAGAAAGCTTGCTTCAAGCTATGCTAACGCCATGCTCTCCCCACTCCTTTGCCAGGTTCAGTGGTGGAGCACTTTTAGGCATGTTTACTTATTAGCTGAGCATATCTGGTATCACAGCCTGTTAAAAGAAACATGTTACTTTTCCAGACCAGGGTAACATTTATAAATAAAAGACATGAGTAACTTTAGGCCCTGATCCAACAATGTACTTAAATGCGTGTGAATGCCCTTAAGCCCAGTGGGCTTTAATGGAGCTATTCAGATGCTGGAAATTATGCACGTGTTTACATGGGCTGTGGGACTCCGTGCCAGTGGGGTGAGATCTGCAGTGGAAAACTCAGATGATCAGTCCACAGAGACAGATATTCCCGTGTGTGAGGCACATGTCTGTAAGTAAAATCTGCTTTGGGGGTGGGCTGATGTTCACCCTCTACTAAACAGAATTTAAATGGTTCTTGGACCACAGTAGAGAGGTGAACTCTACCCTGCACCCAGATAACTTTTTCAACTGATGCACAAAGCAGATGTTGCATTTAAAAGGGAATACTCAGCCAAACTGGAATTAGTTCAATATCTTGCAGAAAGCAGTTGGAGCCACAAAATAATGTTCACAAATAAAAACTTCAGAAAAATTACTTGCAAGATTTACTTGTGCCAGAGAAGTTTAGCTGAGTAAACTCTGCAACCAAGAACTGTTAAGACAGTCTACTGCAGGCTGAGATTGCACCCAATCTTGCATATTAAGTGGTCCCATGTCTCCAGAGATTTAGATCAGATGCACTAGGAAAGAAGATTTTGAACTGATCCATAAGAAAATATTATAGATAATGTTTTGGACTTTGCAGGGCAAAAGGGCTTAGGTAGATACTCTCTGTCTAGTCCAGGGATTGGCATTCAGCTGCAGGTCATCAGTCTGCATCCAGACTGTGTTTGCAGTGACTGAAAATTATTAGTGTCTCATGATGTGGAGTGACCTTTAGGGAGACAGTTCCTGTTCTCAGCCTGCTTTTGCAGTGGGTTTGTTTTAGCCACCTCCACTTGGGGGACTTGCCAGCAGATTCAGCTGAGAGACCAAATGTGCCATGAAAAAAGTTTCTTCTTACTTTACTAGAAACACCTTTCTAACCTTAAACCTTACAAGTAACCTGCCTTAACACTGCAAACCTTGTTTGTGAAAGACAGCTGCTCCCCCACCCCCAGTCTCTTAGGGACTTGCAGCCTCCATCATCCTATCCTGCCTGTGCCCTACTTTACAGAGTTCATTGAAATCAGCCAGTGTATCCGTAACAGACCTCAGAAGTATTTCATTTCCTGATGCACGAGATAGTCCCACATGTGTCATGGAAAGAGAGATGCCTCTGGCTAGACGGGCCCTGTGATGAGGGGGAGGCACGCTGGACCAGAGCTCCAACACTAACTGCCACCAAGGACACGTGTGCCTCCCTGCAGTTCTCTTTTGGGGTAGATTCCTGCAAGCTGGCAAACCTCCCTCTTCCTCTGGTCCTGCTGCTGGAGCCTGCATGCCAGGCACACCTGTGAGGCAGATCAGAGGTGACGTTGATGGGCTGTGTCTGGAAAATTGGGTTGTGGATTGGGAGAGTTGGCAGCATTGTAAATTCATGAGTGGGAGAAGTAACACTAAAGGAGCAAGAGGTGGAAATCATCTGTATAGATCACACGCTGTGTGAGTGAGACTGTGGGTCCGCTGGAGAAGACTTTGGGTACAGTGCCACTCTCCACATTAGGCTGTGTCCTTGTATGCCCTCAGGTGAGGGACTTGCATAAAAAGATCTTGGCAAAGTTTGATGGGTAGAGAAAGCCCTGTGGATGCTGAGACCAGAGCTGATTTTAGATGCCAGCACGTAAAGCAAGGCTCTGGGGCCTCAGCTGGCCCAGGAGGAGCTGCAGTCAGCTGGCGTATGCATGCGAGTCCCGGCAGGCATTCTGCAAGCCTGATACTGGTTTTGAGTGAGAAATCTGAGAGCACACGCTACAGATCTGATACCCTGAACAGCATATCGTCCCCATGTGTTGCCTCAAGTCAGGCTCATGTTTTGAGTAGAAGGGATGAATATTTGCTGTTCATGCTGCCAGCTGCCTGCAACACCCTGTGCTAGTCTGTGCTAGTGTGCAGACAATCTGTAAATGCCTTTCCCTTCAATCTAGCAAAGCGGGATAAATCACTGTCCCCTGACAGGTCCATTAAACAAGCCCTAGGAATCATCACTGGACTCTTCTATGGAAGATCTTGCAAAGCCAACTTGCAGGAGTGAAGTTCTGTTCACCAGGCTGGCATCTGAAATGAAGAAAAAAGACACAGAGAAAACAACATGGTGCCACTCCTGGGGGAAGATGGAGATTGTTTACTGGAAGAATTGCAGCCACTGATGGAGTCTTTTTCCCAGGCTCTGGGAGCCACCCTGGCCGAGTTGTGCTGGGGATTGGCTGCTACCCCCTTCGTATTAATTTCTTCAGCTAAATGGTTTCTTCTGAGTATGTGAATATAATCAGTGGAGTGTGTAAAACTCCCAGGTTTGACCCTTGCTGGGCTCAGTGCTTCTTGTGGTATAAATTTCTCAGGCATAACATAAATGTGTAATGGATTAAAGCTTTAATAGTATCCGTTCGGCAGTTGACTTAAGCAGGTGATGACAAGAGGGGCTGGTAATGCTGCTTTTGTTGGATGAAGGATATGCTGGGCATGCTGCTTATATGTAACCCAATAGCACTATTCTGTTCCGAGTGGTCCTTGGTGGTAATTATTCCCCATCCTACTTCCTTTGTCCCCCCCTCATTTGCCTCCAAAATGTCATTCGCCTGCTGAGGATGGGCAGGCACACACTTATCATTCCCTGCTGAGCTTGCTTGCCCTCAATAAATACATTCCAGGCTTATATTCAGGGCCTCTGGCCTAGCTCTCCTCTGCGTGGAGGGTGTAATTCCTGTTCCCCAGCCGGCGCAAGCAAGGCCTGGCCTGTTCAGACCCTTCCCAGCAGCAACTGGCAATGCTCCTGTGGAAGTTTAAAGATGCAGCGACAAAGCACTGCTCCCTGGTCCTTCTGTGTATGCAGCCGGCAGGGTGCTCTCCCTTTCTGTTCTTATTAACCCAAAAAAGTGTTTGCTGCTGGATCATTTCCAGTTCCTCGAGCACGTTGGGAATCTGCAGCAGAGCTGGAACGCTGCAAGGTGGTGCTCGCAAAGCCTTGTTTGCAGTGTGACTCTGTCCCTTCTTATTGCATAGCTTTCACAGACAGGCTTGTAGCTGTGTTTTTGTTGGAAGGTCTGTCCCACACACAGGAAAGTGCCTGGACACATGTATGTGCACGTGAGACAGTCAGAGGTGCTGGTTTCCAACCCTCAGTCCAAACTTTGGAGCTGCAAAACATAACAACTTTTGACATGATGATGCACATTGAGTATAGGAAAACCCAGGATGTGGAGGATAGACCTTAGTTTTTTAAAGAATAGGGGAAAATAGCCCCTTACCAAGCAAAGCTCAGAGGTTTTAATAAACCAGCTTCAAACTTACGATTGCTATATATTACCAACAAAATAGGCAAGCAATGAAAAGAAACATCCAAGCCTCTGGCACACGGGAACTTTCCAGTATATCACCCACTAATTATCTCATTCCTTGATCTGTGACAGACTAAAATTTAGGACTCTCTCTTCTAATTGTCTCCCCCCCATACACATTTAGGCCGGAGACTACCATCTGCTCTATGGTTCAGCTTACTTGCAGTGCCACAGACTGTACAGTGTCACTAAAAATAAACCAGAGCAAGTGCCTCATTCATCCAAGCTCTTCTTGGTGCACTCTCTGTGCAGCTGTCAATGGCTAGAAAGCATATATAGAAATCTGCAGAACAGTTAGGTTTGTGATAGCCGAAATTATGACCCTGCATAGCAATAAATGCCGTCCACAGCTTTTCTGGAAGCAAATCAAACCCCTTGCTCTCTTTGTCATGCATGTTCACTTCAAACTTGAAGTGATTTTTCACTGACATGAAAATGTAGTGTGATGACAAAAATGATGTCTGAGCCTGGGAGGTGCTGAATTTGCCCAAGAGGAACTGTGTCCCTTCAAGGTCTTGCAGGATTACATCTAAAACACTTTCCTTCCACCTTTGCTTTAGAAGCAGAGGTTTGGTGATTTGAAGGCTCAACTTAAGTTTATAGATCTTTGCTGTCATGCTTCCAGAGCAATAAGCTAAACCAGAAATATCTGTCATTAACAATAAAATAGTGATTTATCTGCTTGCAGTGAAACTTTACGCTTTGACAAGTCAAGTTATCAATGGGGAGATGCAGTTCTACGCCAGGGCCAAACACTTCTACCGGGAGGTGCCAGCCACAGAAGAGGGCATGATGGGAGACTACATTGAGCTCTCCAATACAGACATTGAATCCTCCAGGGAGTTTCTCAGGAAGTTTGTTGGGGTGAGTCATTTAATCCCATCTTCTGCAAGAAACAGTGGTGATGTGTCATAACTGACATGCACTGTGCCCAGTCACATACATTTTAAATGGCACCATACGTCATATTCCGTATGCACTCACAGGTCGTAACTGACTGTCATTGGGTCTAGTAATATGTTCTGCCAGGTCATACATCATCATGAATGCACATTTTGCCTGGCCATATATCGTTATTTACCTTGTTTGCATCCTTTTCTCGTGCTCGAAGGCTGCAAAGAGGATTGTGCAAGGAGTTGTTATAGCTGTGTTTGGGTGGGAGATTAATTCTCAGTGCAGGACTGGGACCTTTCATGGTAAAAGCCTTGCTGGTTTCAGTGGGAGATTTGTCTGTGCAAGTTCCTGCTGTCCATTTGGGAAAGCTGCTGAGACTAAATGCCAAGTTTCTGTTTTGCCTATTTATAGATATTTTTGAGAATGCTACAACAGAACGCAGCCCTTCTCACCGCCCCCCTCCCCACCCCCCAACATTATATAGAATAAGCTACCCATTAGGAAAAATATTTTTTTCTTGAACATTCCAGTGTCACTAGGGACCTTTGCAGGCGGATTTCTAAAGGTCTGTAAACATCTTCACGTTCTGCTTCGAGCTGAGATGCAAAAAGTTGCCAAGTGGGATTTTAAAAGCACTGACAATAGCAGTATAGCTTTGGCACTTAGGTTTCTAAAAATCCTGTTGACATCTGAATGTGTCTTTGGAAATCCACAAATCTTTAAAAGTGAGGCCTGATGGTTTTCTGACTCCTCTTCCCTCTTCCCAGGGGGAAGGCCCACTAAATTAGCTCAACAACAGTATTAGATGCTAAAGAATCCACAAAGCTACAGAAAACCAAATTTCCTAAGTTCTGCTCACAAAACAATTGGTTCTATATAATGCTATCACAGAGCTTTCATTCTCTTCTCAAAAGTACAAATTTCGGATAGCCAGGTGCCCTTTTTTTCAGTCTTAATGATCTACTGTGGAAAAAAAACTCAGCAGGTTAATTAGACATTGTGTGTAAAAAGGGCATAGTTTGAATGGGTTGGGCTGGAAAATGAGCGTGGCTTAGGAACAGATAGAAATCCTGTACAGCAGTGAAGGGCAACTGATGGCAATGTTTGCTGTACCTGACTGAGGGAGGCTTTTGGGGCAGTGAGCCAGCAAAACACAAGTGAACAGCTGCATTTTTAAATGAATACTCATTAATGCTAATGCAAAAAGGCTTCACAAAATTTCAAAGCCTTACTGTATCAGGTTTTCTACAAATGCAAAATGAGCAAATACGAAGGAAGTTCAGCAAGGCAGCTAAACCTGGTGGTAAAATGGCATTTTCAGAAAAAATTAAATGCAATTTAGAAGCCTAGAGCCAGCTCAAGGCATATTCCTTAAATTTTACTTCGGTCTTGTTTTCAGGACATTTGTGGAAATCAAGTGGTGCATAAGCCTGTACTAAGGGAAAGATTTCATGCTTCCTAAACATCATATAGATTCAGTTTCCTGAACGGCAGGTTTATAGCACACTGTTACATTTTCTCATCTCCAAGACCTGAAAAGGAAAGAAGTAGAGTCTGTAGCAGAGTTTCACATGCCAAAGAGAAATCATACCCTATGTATCAGGTGTGATGACAGATACAAACTACTCCAGAGCAGAGTTCCTACTCCTATTATTAGCCAGGGGTAGAGAGGATACTCTGAATGGCCGAGATCAAACAAGAAGATAAAAGAAGGGAACAGAAAGGAATCTGGACATTTTGCTAATTCCGATTTAGATTGTTAAAGCCTGTCTGTTGAGATACAGTCAATTGGTTTATTTTCCTTTCTTACTACTTCAATTTGAATATTGCAATTTGTATCAGCCAGATACAGATATTTACTGGCTTTCTGTAGTAGTGACTTTATTGTAAAGCTAATGTGAGTTAACGTCTTCCCAAGTTTATGGCTCTATGAATAATCTTTTTTTCAGTAAGGTGATCAAGATAGAAGAAAGTAATTTGTTTCACCCTAATATGTGCTATACTTTCTTTTTGAAAGAGAAGTTTAGCAAAATCAGAAAATAGGAAAATCAGTTTCAGATCAACTTAACGTGTTTCACTTCTTTTATTGTTTTGCCCTCTGAAAAACTTTTCCCCACATTTTCAAGTGTAAGTCAGTTCCAAAATGAAAAATGCTGTTTAGAAATAAAAGTTGACAAGTTTTTTTTTCCTTGAAAGTTGTGAAAAAGAAGTATCTTGACATTTTAAACATTCTTTCCCATGTTTTTTTGGCTATAACTATTTTCTAGATTTGAAATATCCATTTCACAGAGAGCTTTATTCTTCCAAAACTTTATTTTCTGGCAAAACTAGTGCTCTTTAAAAAACTGTTGCCCAGTTCCACTCAAATTACCCCTCTTGAGTTAGTTTGGCTGGGTGGAAATGCCACACAGTGACATTTCCCTTACATGACTGATGTTGCATACCTTCATGTATGGCATTTCTTAGCATGATTCTTAGCACCACCGTAAACTGAGCCACAGATTCCTTCACCATTTGAGAATTTATCTTGCCTGGGCACATGGAAGGAATTACAGAAAGGACTAAGAACTTTGCTTATATTTTAGCCTGTCTCCTTCCCAGGTGAGTCAAAGTGAGTTGAAAGTGCCACTGTGCTCGAGTTAAGAGGTTTTATGTGTGTGTGGGCAGAACCCAAACCAAGAGCAACATGACTTGAGCCAAGGGCGCTGCACAGACAAGCTGTAGTAGGTAAAGTCATACTTGAAGGGTTATCAGCAGAGCTGGAGCACTGCATATTTATGGCAGTGTATTAATGCCTCTTAAACCCTTGATGTCCACATAGACACTGTGTTTGCAAGTGCCTAATCCGGAGGTAATCTGTAAAAAAGGAAATAAAGAAACCATTAATTCAGGAACAGTTGTGAGCTATAGGTGTGTGAAATAGCACACACAGAGATTATATTAACTTTATAGCTCCCTTTCTGCCCTAAGCCCTTTCTCCCTTTCTTGCCCTCAGTTCACCTGCCCGATTAGTTACTTGCTGAATGAAAAGCTTCTCGAAAGTGATTTTTCTCCTGTTTGATGGGGGGAATGGGAGAGATGTTGTTGAAAACCTAATTTTTGTTTGTTTGTTTGTTTTTTTTTAATTTAGAAGGAAAACCACTGTGATTTTTATCTATCTCTTGAACTCTGATTTATTTTTTATCCTGCATATCTACACTGCCTTCCTGCCCTTCCAAGACCTGAAGCAGTAGCTTCAGGTACATATTCCACAACTCTTTTATCCCTAAGGAAATCTGTGAGTGCCCTATTTAGCTTTAGAGAAGAATTTTTGTGTGTGTATGTGTCCTAAGTGATAGCGATTCTGAGTAATGGGAAGCAAGTAATCAGAGAAGCAGTCAATCTTAAATTTTGAAGCCTGTTCTGGCTTAGAATTTTCACTTACACTATTTTTTAAAATAAGGAATCTGATTTTCAACTCAATTAGGCTTTTGGGAGAATGATTGCCTTCCAAAGAAAATGTTAATACCCTGTCAGATCTCTGAGCACTCCCAAACTGAAAATATATTAGCTGAACATGGAATTATGTCAACATTTTCATTACAAACAGAGCCGCAGCGCTTCACAGCACTTCTCAACTGACTGCTGATGCTCTTGCTCTCTTTCAGCAAAGTGTGGGATCAAGATTCATCTCCCATGATTGTTCCCTTTCCTTCTCGATGGCAAATGGAGGTGTGTCATCAGAGGTCCTTGCCATGACACATCAAGGGAGATGAATTCCCTGTTTTGAGTGAGGTACTGTGACTATAGGTTCTCTGAAACACAAAAGTCAAAGAAGTTGTGTGGCTTCCTGTTGAATTCTATTCTTTGTTTTGGTAGATCTTCCGGTTTTCTCACCAGCTTTGTCAAAGATTTTTCCTTAATCACATCAGTGTAGGCCTGTATTTATCTTCAGCAAACAGTATGGGAATCCACCTTGTAAAGATCCAAGACTCAGTTCCTTCTCCTTTCACGAACTCCTTGTTACAGCTTAGTCTGGTCCTCAGTAAAAGCCACATGCTCCTAAGTGCAGTCTGTGATGAAGAACGGCTCACTTTTTCTGGCTAACTGCAAACAGGTAGTCTCGAGAGTCCAACAGGGTTGAAGGCTTGTGGACTCTTGCACACATGGGGAGATTAATCTTCCTAGGTATACAAATTGGGACCAGCAGCCCTGGAGACTGAGGAGAGCCTTTCAGGCCCTTGTGCTCTTTCTACAGTTACTCTGTGTAACTAGATGCTCAGCTGGGCTATTCATAGCCATGTCATTGACAGTTCTCTCCTTTGACCTTAATAATCTGCTGAATTACCCACTGAAGCAAGGCCAAAAAAGCATCGAGTTACTTGATTTATGCTTGATGACTACAGAGGGCGTCTCCCAATAAGTAGGAAGAGCAAGACTCTTCCTGGGTTTATTTCCTTTAAGAGCAGTGAAGCTGCAGCAGGGACTTTGGCCCATAGCTTGGACTTCAACGCTTACTTCCAGAGGACAGGGAAAAGGTGTTTATGTTTGCTTTTAATATATTTGTTTAACAGATAACTTTGGCTAGGGGAGCTCCAATCCCACAGTCAGTGCATGTACAGACTTAAAATTTCTGTTTTACAGAACAGCAGCAGGCTCTTAAGAGCCTTTTTATAGCTAGAATGGAAGCTTTAGGGGTGAAATACAGCTTTCATTTTAAAGCTCCTTTTACAGTGACTCATTATTTTCTCATACACATATCCTTTGTGCTGCATTTTTTCATGTCTGATCTCTGTCCAGAGATGATATTTAAGAGGAAAAAACAGTTAAGCAAAATCTACTAAAAATCTTTCTTGTCTCTATGCCTAAAAAAGAAATTCTGTATATACCCCAGTCCAAACTTTTTGAGTTGCCATAGGCTACCTACAATGCCAAGATCTTCATTCAAACTCAGCTTGTTTTGAAAGCTGCACTCTGATCTGAAGGATGCTGTATATCTGCAGAGATGTCCATGGGCACCGTGGGAGTTACGTCCTGCGGAAGTTAATTCTTGCATTCAGTGTTTGGTATATGCTTACTTTTTTGTTAGGCCTTCGCAGGGCTCAGGATGAGGCTTATCTAGCCAGATAGTTGGCTGTGAGGTCTGAATATTTGCCAGACGAAATTACAAGGACTTTACAAAGACCAGTGGATCACTGGAGAAAGCTAGGAGCTTGTGAAAGATTATGTCTCTTCTTATCCCAAGCAAAAACTTACTGTACAGCAATAATTGCAGGGCTGCAATGAGGAAGTACCATCCACAGCAGCCTGGGAACACCGGAGCCCAGCTTAGACAAAGCTCTACTGATACTGGCCCAGGTTCTTAGCAATCTTGCCAGAGCCCTGCACAAGTAAGGAGACAAGACACAAGGCTTGGTGGACTAAAGGCTGTAGCTGGTAATACAGTTGCTATGATCTTTCAGGTGTTATTTTTCAGATTTCAAATTATTTTCTTGTATCCCACAGGGGGTGGGGAAAGCTGGCACCAACCGCGCCCTGGACTGCGGCTGTGGGATAGGTCGTATCAGCAAGCATGTCCTGTTACCAGTTTTCAAGAGCGTGGAAATGGTGGATATGATGGAGAATTTCCTGGCTGAGGTCCCGAACTACCTGCAGGACAAGGAGGACAGAGTAGAGATGTATTATTGCAAAAGCCTCCAGGAATTCACACCAGCCCCACAAAGATATGATGTCATCTGGATTCAGTGGGTTTCAGGTTAGTTCAGCATGACTCATCCAGCCCAGCATCTCCAAAACTATATAGCTTGTGCTAAACTTTATGTTAAAAGAATGGTGCAGCTCTAAAAGGAGGTTCTCAAAGCTTTGGAACTGCTTCCTAAAATCTCACAAGAGACTTCTCCCCAGCCACATGCACCATGGGTACAAATCAAATTGGTTTTTTTCAGGTCACATACTGGAGGAAGGTACACATTCTTGGGGAGTAGCCTGCATGCTCAGGTGCAGCTGAGGAGTAGGTCTTATATATGGGTTTTCTTGAGCAACAATCCTCCTTAGCTTCCAGTGCTGCAGACAGATATATGGGGTTGGCCTTACCTGTGAAGAGGGATTTCTGAATCTAATGATTATCCAGACTTGGGGGTATTTCAGGAAACAATCTGAAAAAAGTCCTAGTGAAATCACCAATACCTATAAACCAGATCATGTCTCATACATTCACTGATGTTGATCAAACAGGTTTGCTTAGCTGTGTCCCATAGAACCCCCTCATACAAGAAATAACTGCTTCTTCTCCTGCAGCCACCCTAGTGAATGCCCTGCAGCATTAAGAGCAGCAGACTGGTGACCAGATAATGTGGGCTATGTTCCTCACCCAAAAAAAACCCCAAGTTCTTAATTTTTTCTAGAAAACCTGCTGTGGTGCCTAACTATCCTTCCAGAAATAAGGTTTTCTCCTAATCTGTGAACCTAAGCGTCCATGGTATAGTTTCAGCTGCAGAAGTCATTATTCTAAAGCACAAGAGGAGGCCTGAACAACTCCTTCTCTCCAAAACCTTGGAGATGATAGTTTCTTGATAGGCAAAAAGAAAGATAAAGGTAGGGAGATGAGCACAGGAGCTGGTTTTCAGGAATACGTATTTGTCCTCTGCACATAATCTTAAAAAGTAATGAAACTGGGCTGCTTAGAACAGGTCTTTATAGCTGTAAAAGCAAACTGTTTCAGAACAGTATTATTTTCCTTTGTATTTTTGCTTTTCTTGAATAAGCAGTCATTGCAGTAAATATGGCTCTTGCCTCAACTTTTGAGCAAATCTGAGTCAATATGAGACTGAATGAGCTAAGACTTTTCTTATCAGCTATGTGGCTGCTAACGAAGCAAGCATATGCCTTTTCTTTCCCATAGACACAGATCTGAATCTCCTTCCTCCATCACTTTCAGTGAAATATGTAGTGATCTTAAGTATTAATCAATACTTCTACCCCTATCTTGAGTTTGGTTGAAATATACCAACAAGCTCAACACTTTATGGTGGAGCGAGGGCAGGACTGTCTGGTAAAGAGCAACACCATGAAGATCTCATTTTCTTGGGAAACTAGATTAAAAGCTAAATTAAGAGAACATTAAGTTCCTAATTAGGTGGTCAAAAGCTTCAATGAATCTTGCTGATGCAATCTTGATTTGTCTTATGTATGCATAAGTATATGAACCCAGGCTGCTATTTTATGAAAAAAAATGAAACAGCAAGTTTACATTTCATATAGAAATTGCCATTTTCCTAGGCTTTGGGGCGTTTTTCTTTTTTTTGGGGGTGGTGGTTAAAAAAACCTGACATGCTATGTCAAAATATGGTTTTGAAATGACAACTTCCATTTATAGAAGTTTAAATCTTCCATCAAGAAAACTAAATATTTTGCCTGGAAAATACAAACAATTATTTTTTTTTCAACTTTGTAATTCAGTTTCTGACCACCTGTCCTTGTTAATTCATTTTAGATGTTTCATATGTGAGAGTTTTCATTTTGCTCTTCTCTGAGCCTTGCGCTACTGATCTCAACATAACAGAAGTATAGGTCTTTGAGAAGGAAGGATAAAAAACACGATCTCAATAACATATTGAAAAAAGTACTCTTTCAAAATGTATATGGTATATGCAGAAGTCACAACAGTATGAGGTAATATAAAGAGTTTGTTTGTAAGGTCTTGCATTCCTCACTAGACCTTTAATCCAGAAGTCCTCTGATGGGTACATAACGTTATGTAAATTTATGGAGATTTGCAGCATTAAAAGACAGAAGAGATTGTTAGATTATCTAGTTTGACCTACTCTATATCATAAGCTGTTACATCCGCTCCTTCACCCTTGTACTGAGCCAGTAGTTTGTGTTCAATTAAAACATATCTTGAGAAAGTCAACCACGCTTGATTTGAGGACTTCAAGAGGTGGTAAACACCACTTCTGTTGGTAGTTTCCAATGGGTAATTACTTACACTGTTAAACAGTTGTCACTTATTTCCAATATGAATTTGTTTGGCTTCAGCTTCCTGCCACTGATTCTTATTATGACTTTAACCACCAGATTAAAGAACCCTTCAGCACCCAGTATTTTTCTCCACTATTCCCATTGACTTCTGTCCTCATCTGTTGCTACTACTCGCATGGATCATAAATATTGATTTCAGTTTGTAACTGTTGATCTCATTGATTTGCCCAAGATTTCATAATTAAATCTGTCAGGACTAGAACTTCTTCTGCAATAAATAGAGTATGGAGACTCAGATCAAGGTGCCATTCTGATGTTTACAGGGGGAGTCTTTTTTGAATGGTTAATAGCGATCTATTTTCCATCTTTTCATCTGTAGGATATCTGACAGATAAAGACCTCCTGGAGTTTCTCATCCGGTGCCAGAATGGCTTGAAGGACAATGGTGTTATTATTCTCAAGGACAATGTAGCCAGGGAGGGCTGTATCCTGGATTGTCTGGATAGTAGCGTCATCCGAGACCTCAACATCCTCCACAGCCTCATTGAAATGAGTGGACTCACCATCCTACGAGAGGAGAGGCAGGAGGGATTCCCCGAGCAGTGTGTCCCTGTCTGGATGTTGGCCATGCAGAAACGCCCTGGTCATTCCTGATGGCATAGTGAGACTGCAGAGACTGGACTATGGATGAACTGCAGCATTGGGAAGGGAGAAAAGCATCTACTGGAATCCTCCTAACCATGCACTGCTACTACAACAACTCTAGGGCAGCAACTCCTAAATGATTGGGAGAAATTACAGTTGAGCCAGTTTCTCCTGGGAATAGTCTGCTTCTAAATCCTGCCTGCTTCATCATTCTCTCTATTTTCAGAAGCCTTTGTAACAGCTCCTTGTCAGATCTCTCTTTCATTAAGGTCAATACTGGACAAAACTCAACCAATAGAAAATAATTAGGTCTGAAGTTTCTGTAGCGGCCAATACATTTTGGAGTGTTCTGTCTGAGGTGTGAACAAATAAGCCTGGTTTTTACTGTGGCACTTAAATCTTCTTGGACTTTAAGAAGGATCTGTCACATCACTGAATCAGGAAATTCAAATAACTTCTGGAAAACTTAGCACAAATTTTGACTGTCATCACTATCTGTACTTTAAAATACTTAAACCAAAAATGTTAGGAAAGTTTTATACATTTGTTGGCATCAGCTATGGAATTTATCTATTTTTTAGCATTTCTGTCAGTTTGGACAATAAGACAACCTGGTTAATTTTCCATTTTTAGGAAGTATTTTATCTTCCTGATGTTTCTGCCATGGAACAATAGTGGTGCGTAAGGGTTTTTGCACTCCAGGGGAAAACTTAGATGACAAATATATGCATGTTTGCATTGAAATTTTGTGAAAAGATTGCCCCACAAATTACATTCTGGAAAATATTTTTTCAAAATGTTCACAGTGGAAACCACTTGAAAGCTTCCCTTTATTATTCATACCACTGTAAATTTCTTGCTTTCCCACATTCAGAACAAGTCTGGCACCGTATGCAGAGCTAATGGGATTTCATGGGGTGTTAATAGTAAGACTGTATGAAGAACTAATACAGTATTGTATTAATTAACAACTGTACTAAACTGCAGAGGGTGTTAGTGTAGCCCAAAAGCTTCTATGATTTATATTCAAACAGCAGCTGTATAAGCCTGGATTTGAAAATGCTAACACACATGCCCTCTCCTTAAGGCTCATGGAAATTACACATTAAGGTTCTTGTCCTCTTCATATAGGTGCAGAAAGGGCTGTGGGAGGAGAGAAATTAATAATTTTGCAAAAAAAAAAAAAATCTGAACTTGAAATTTGCTTCATTGCGACTGAGGACAAGAAGGGACAATCCTGAAATTCTTTATGAATGAAAACCACACAACCACAATCTTTTCCAAGTTGATTAAAATTTTTCCTTCAGACAAAATAAAATGTTTCTTTAGAATTGGTCTTCTAAAATAATTTGCACTTAAAATAAATGCAGTGAAAAGCAAATTACATATGGCTTGTTCAGATTTTTAGAAATTAATGACGTTAGAATGGACTGTTTGACTGTGTCAGAATTTTCATAGTGTTTTATTCCCCTGCAATGCAATGCTGGCAAAATTTCTCAGACTTTTTAAAAGTTGCATTATGACAAACCTCCGTGATCTAATGAAAAGGGTTTCTATAAAACATCCTCCACATGACTGTAGGCACAATTTATCTGTGTCAAATACTGTCATCTGTGTTAGATTAACTCACATAGAAGCCTGAAGATAACGAGATCAGGGAACCTCTCAGCTGGGTTTTAGTACACGTTGCCATCCTTTGATAACAAATCTCTAGTTTTGGTTTTAATTGCATAACTCATCTTCTTGAGCAATATGGTTGCATATGTTGAGAATTTCCAACTTATGGTAGAGGGCTTCCTGCTGTCAAATCTTATCCAGTAATTGTTCTCTTAATGTGCCATCACTAATTGTAGCATTAAGGAAAACAACCCTGGTGATTTGGTGAATATTCTGGCGTGTCATATAACCTAGAAACCTATGGTTCCCATGACACAAATGCTTCTGGAATGTTTTGGCTAGTTCTTCCATTCTAATCAACTGGTAATGGGCATAAATTTAGTATATAACATTGTTAAAAACCCGAGGTGAACTCTTAGAATTTGGAATTGTCCACAGAATTAAGTGCTTCCCTTTAAGCCACTACGAGGCTGCTCAAAGCTGGTGTGGTCTTTGTGTGCGCATGAGTGTGTGCAGGTATCTGAAGGAAACCCAGTCATTTGTTTTACAGGAAGGAGACATCAGTCCTATAGTTAGTAACACTGGTTAGCAATAAGAGGAGAATATTGAGAAGACCTTTACGTGGATTACAAATTAATTTGCCCTTCACCATTTTTTCTTCCAACCAGAGACGTCTGCCATGGTGAAGAATACTTGGAGATCGTAGAACAGTCATGTTTGTGCCAGGCGTATCTGAATGGTGTTGGTTACTACAATGGTGAGAGAACGGCATTGTGAAAGTAGAGAAGTAAACAATTTTATACAAATCTAGACAGCTGCCACATCTCACAGGGCAGAATATATCAGCTGTTCGCTTACACGCCAGAGTGGGTGCAGTTCAGTAATGACAGACGTGGTTCCAGGATGGATATAGAATGTAAAGTGGTTTAGGATGGAAGGTAGAATATAAATATATTTTTCAAGGTAAAAATGCTCTGCCTGTAGTTTGTACATCTTTCTTTCCTATTTGAATTTCCAGAATACATATACATACATATATAATGGAAATTGGTTCCCTTAACTATGTGAGAACAGAGACAAGTACAATCTTAATTTAGTAGAAAACCCCGTATTTCATGGTTCCCACATTCCTGTAAATTAATGTTTCATGGCTATGTTGCTTCCACAGTAAAATATTAAAGCTTTTCTGGTGACATAATGAACCTCAAGAGTAAAGAAACACAAGCCCTCCAGAGGCTTAAAAGCATGAGATTGCTGCAGACTGAATAATATTTTGGTTTCTTCCTTTTCCAAGGTATATTTTAATTCAAGAACTCCCAGTCAACCAGTGTAGGCCACCCTTAAATGTGGATGAATTTGTGTAAGGGCCATTCTTGGCTTAAAAGTTCAGGGCTGTCTGGACCTTACCCTAGTATATAATAATGAATCACAAGTTTCAAGCAGAAGACCTTCCTTGGAGATCATCTATGTATCAGTTGCTCTTTGGTCTTCAAAGACTGAATAATCAACATAGTTGCTCTGCCTCAACTTTCAGGTTATTTAAACCATGTGTTTAAAGAAGTCTTTAGCTCAGCAGATTGCAGAGGGAGTTTGAATCCCATTTGTCTGGTGCTCATTTAAGACTTGTTCCCAATCTTGACGTTACCAGAAATTTAATCTGAGATCAAGACCCTGGCTGAGGCAAGGTTCACAGAACATTCAGGGTCCTTCAAGCTCAAGCCTTCATTCCCCACCGACAGGTAATTAGTGAAATATCCAATTAGTCCTTCAATCAGATGTTTCCCTCAGGCAACCACTACCCAAGTAAATGCTTAGCCACAGTGCAGTAAAGCCCACTTCTGCCATGTCACCACCAAAGCTCTTGGTAATGCATGGTTTCCCCTTATCAGGTCCAGTGCTTCTATTTTGTGTGACTGAAGGGCAAGTATTATCTTTATTACATGAATGTGAGGTTCCTTGCAAAAGAGATCCTCAAACCCTGCCGGTAGCCCCCAGATGCTACAGCAACCCAAACAAAATGTCAGGAAACAATTATTACAGCAATCAGAACAGTGATCCCAACTGGGCAGCTCCGGCAACCATCGAAGCTCAAGCTGTTCGTGTTCCAAAGGCAACTCAGACATTACAAATGTCCTTTCACTTCTAATTGGAAGAGAGAGCCATCATTTTGAAACATATTGCTGAATGGATGTTCTAAAATATTTTGTTTTAGAAATACTGAAATAATCACATAAAATATTTTTAGTTTGACTTTCTTGTTTGGATGTTTACATAATCTAGTCTAAACTGACAAGTGAGATGATAATATAATACATAATACAGTATTGTAATAGTTGAAGTGAAACATTAGTTTTCTACAGAATACACTAATAAAACCAGTACATTCCCTGCCCCCAAATTTAGTGAAACAACTCAGCAATTTCTAGAGGAAACAATAATTTAAAGAGAAACAGTCCTGTCAAAAAGTATTTGCCCAAGCTCTTTTTTTCCAAACGTATCCCATCCATTCAGGCAGCTTGCATTGTGTCTGCTCTCGGGAGCAGCCACTTTGGGCTCTTTGACAGGCGAAAATAAGAAACTGGCACCTCCAGAGCAATTCAGACCTGAATTCAGACCTCCAGAGCTGAAGTGGCTTGAAATGAGAGAGTCACCCTTCTCCCTGGTGCTTGTACAGTGGGAATGAAAGTGCATCCTTGTTACAACCAATTCAGCATCTTCATTGTTAATGTCAAACAGAACTGCGGTGTGATCTCAGGAGCTGCGACTGTCAAAACCAGAAAAGGGCATGGACTTGGATAACCAAACACCCATTAAAAATCAAAGTCACGGCACCAGGGCACTACAGTAATGAGTGCAATATATCACTGCATAATGCCAACTGACAAAAGCTTTGCCAGTTATTCCACTGAGTGCCCCGAGTACCTTTATGCCATCACTTGCTTTTTCCATTCTCTTAATCCAGGCTCCCCAGGGCGTTCACAATGGTGTATCAGACAGTAGGCCTGTCCAGAAGAACTTGACTGTTATGTGTGATTAAAACCAGTTGTGTTGCATCCCATCCCTCTTCTCTTCCTTTGATGCTCCCTCCAACTTGCCAAGAAAATCCCTCCTTCACTTGCCAAAAGTGATTTGTTCTCTGTGGACATCACCACATCTCACTGAAGTAAAACAGATTACCTTTGATTTTAAGAGGAGGTAATTCTGTTTATCTGAGAGCAATAACAACACGCTGTATTTCAAACATACAGCTTAATACCTGTCTCTTTCAATTGATGTCAAGTAGGCACTCCCAGACCTTTGTACCAAACAAAGCTCACATTCTCATCATCACCATAAATAACAATATTTGCTTGACACTACGTGCCCCTAGACCCTGAAGCGTGTATTCTCAA